AAAATATTTATAATAAATAGATAAATACAGGTTATATGTGATAGAGTTTTATAGAAAATAAAATATGGTAGAGTTTTATAGAAATTATTTTATTTTTTTTAAAAATATTTCCTTGTTTAATTAGATTTCATTTTTATTAAAAAAAACTTATAATAAAAGCTAATTTGTGGTGGATTTTTAGAAAAATTATTTTATTTTGTATATCAATTAATAAATATTTTTTTATATTAATAATTATTCTAATTAGATTTTATTTTATTAAAAAATTTGTAATAATAAATAGATAAATAGGTTAATTTGAATTTTATTAGGTAGATTTTAGAGTTTTATAGAGTTTATATATATATATATATATATAAACTCTTTTCATATCAATTAATAAATTTTTTTTTATATAAATAAATAAATATTGAAACATTAAAACTCTTTCAACATTTAATAATAGTATAGATATAGATAAAAATTCTTTTTATATGAATTAATAAATATTTTTTTATATAAATAAATAAACACTGAAATTATTTGACTGAGCTTCTGTATTTTACTTTGAAATTCTGGATTTTTAGAATTCTCAATTTCTATATCCCTTACTCTTTCCTCCATACCTCTATTTTTAGGCTTTTTGGATTAATAGGGTAATGACATGTGTCCTCTCCTGATAATAACATAATTATAAATTGACGGGACGGGTTATATTGGGATAATTATTCATACAAAATAAATATTCTTTTTATATCAGTTAATAAATAAATAAATACTGAAATATTGAACTTTGTACACATTTAATAATAGTATATATATATATATATATATATATATATATATATATATATATATTGATATAAGTATAGATAGATACAGTCTTATAGATATAGATATATATTGAAAATGAGGTCATCTGTACAACTGTTTTCAACTAGAGCGCTTGAAGTAAGGAGCTGATCAGCTGCATGGGATGAATCCTCTTAAGCAACCTCACTAATATTTAATCATATCAAATTAGAAAAGATTAATTAACTTGCGCACGATACCTAGGTACGTAATGAAGAATATAATACATGGAGAGAGAGAGAGAGAGAGAGAGAGAGAGAGTGGGAGACGCTAGATACATTGTACGTACCAAATGAACAATTTTTTTAAAAATATCAACAGCTTTGTCTTAAAAGGGAGATTTTTATATTCACCAGCTTTGTCTTCTTCTCAGTTTAAAAGAGGACCCTGGAATATTATTAGTATACAATTACAAAAAAGTCTTCAAGAATAAAAATTATATTATGAACACGCGAAAACACGTCTCAGTACCAAGTGATACGGTCCAAGCATGCTACTTCAATCCTGACGGTTGAATTAAGGTATAATGACATAATTTATACTGAAATTTAACGTCATTATCGACGAATCGAATGGCTAGGGTTTAGGTGGTGTGGTAATTCTGTATTGTTGGGGTTATGTTATTATTATAATCCAAAATAATATGTGACATTCTATATAAAAAATGTAAAGAGTGCCGAAACCGCTTTGTCAAAATTAAATTAAAAAATAAAAAATGTTCCAGTTTTTCGACGCGGTCCATGTTCATTTTGTCTTTGTCAGGAGATGGTTTTATAGGTTGTTTTTGTACTATAAATCTGTCACAAATTTTATTATCTGGATTATGAATTTGCAGTGTGTCGAACACATTGACTATATATATATATGAATTCATACTACACCATGAGGAACAATCCCACGTAGTATGTATTAATTCACCAATTATATTTTTATGAGTGTTTTCAATAAATATTGCATTCTCATTTTGAATTGTTATTAATGAATGTGTTGGTCTAAATTAGTTGATTCAATCATTTTAGATGTTAGATATCATATCAATGTTGAGTTCACTTATGTTTGTCATGCAGTATTAGTGGAAGAAGCACAAATATTAGATACGACTTCGAACAACTGGACACAAATACAAACATGATAATACAATAAATCTCTAAAAAATAATATACGAGTACATAAAATTAAGAATTACCCATTGAAATCTCATGTGGGACAAGAACACTTGGGTGATTAGGTCCACAGTGAACTATGATGCTATCGTAATCCCAGCAAAACTAAAACTGTGTGCCACCTACGGTATAATGAAAAAGGAGTTGCCAAATAAATAGTAGAATAATAAGATGCATAGTAAGTCAACTATAATATATGGTTAGTTTCGGTTTTCTTGGGCAGTGCACAGGGCCATCCGGTTCACCGCCCCCTAGGATAATTTAATAAATTAAATTCGATTCATTCTCAAAAAAAAAAAAAAAAAAAAAAAAAATTGATATCACTTTAAATCCGTTTTAAGTTACCAGTAGAGTAATATCTATTCTTCCTTAAAATGAAATGCAAGGGTTTGAGCCTTTCCGTAAAGATTGTGGAAGTTCTTTGGAATATATATATATATATATATATATATATATATAAGTTACTCTTATTGAAACTAGTTTGGAGAATTGTACTGGTTAGTTTGGTTAGCATGAATAACTGAGAAAGGAAATTTTTATTTATTTATATATTTTTTTTACAAAGAAAATTTTGAGGAAAATTACTTTATATAACAACTTATTTTTTTCATAAATTTTTTTTTCTAAAAATTACAAAAAAATAAATATTATGTTCTTAAGAAAATTTTGTGAAATTACAATATTGTCATTTCTTTTATGGTAAATTACATACTATTCAAACCATAAATGATAATTTTACATAATTTTCTTGTAAAATTTTCATACTAACCAAATTGATGTTGAAAGCTTAATTTCCCTTTATTTCACTCCACTTTCTTTTACTTTCCATCACATTCGTGTAAAACATATGAATTTAATTAGTAAGTCGTTATTTTTTAAAAACACTTCATTTTTTAAACCATGGTATGAAATTAACCACTTCAAATTTTAAAAACAGTACTTTGCTTACTTCTTACAAGACATTTGATAATTTGCTAGTGTTCTAGATAGTAATATCATTGACATCTTATTTTAATATTTTGTTTTTTTTTTTTAAAGTTTTACTCAAATACGGAACACACCCATATGAGGAGTTAGATACTCTATCAATTAGAGCGCTTAGTAATACCCTTCTAAAATTTTAGACTTAAATTCATTGATAGGGATCAAATGATTTTACTTTTTAATTGGTTTTAGTAACCAACAAAAAGAAAGAAAAAAAAAAAAAACTTTTTAGTGGTAGAAAATTTGGTCTTGGAGGGTCCATATAATTAGATGAAAAATGATATTGAAAAGTGGAAGTAAAATAAAGTAAAGTGAGTGAAAAAAAAATTCTTCATATATATGATTAGTTTAAAAATTATGCAAAATTATCATTTTATAATTTGAATAGCATGAAACTTACTATAAAAAGAAATGACATAATTGTAAGTTAATATAAGGGAGACAATATTCGTACTCCACTTTTCTCAAATTGCACTACATTTAACTTCTTTTTTTTTTTTTTTAAGGAAATGACAAAAAGGTCATTGAATTCATTAATGCATTAAATTTATAATGCCATAACTACCTTTTATACAATTTTAACTTTTTTTTACATTCTTTACTTTATTTGCTATTTTTTTTCCTTTCTATTTGTTTTTTTTTGTAAAGATGCTCTCAAAGAAAATAATTTATTCCATACTAATAATTTTATTTTTGATAGTTAAAAGAAATAATTTATTTCATAATACGTTTTTTTTTTTTGTTTTTTGTTTTGTTTTGTTTTGTTGTTGTTGTACAATTGAAAGGGGTATTTATTCAACAAAGTTAACCTTTATTTCAGTCAAAAGCGGTAAAAAAAAAATTTTGATAATTTTTTATGGGCCCTGTCAAAAGAAATAATTTATTAGATAAAAATAGGCTCATTCTCTTTCTTTTCTTTTTTTGGAGATAATTTATTCAATATAGATAAAAAAAAAAAAAGAAGATAATTTCTTCAATAAAAATTTTTTTTTGGATTTTTTTTTTAATGTCAAAAGAAATAATTTTTTTAATGGTTACTTTTTCTTTTTTTGGTCCGGTCAAAAGAATCAATTTATTCAACATAAATTTTTATTTCTTGGTCTCATAAAAAAAAAAAATTATGCAATTAAAATTTTTTCTTGTCAAAAGAGACCTAAAATAATAAAGATGGAGATGAAATCTAAAAGGACAATTTTGTCATTTAAAAAGTAATAATTATTTACTTTTAAAGTTAGGGTTAGAATTGCTATTTCATTTAATAATTTTAGTGTAAACATTAAAAAGTAGAGTGTGAATATGGCATTCTAATATAACTTTCTCAATAATTTTTTTTTCTACGTTTTTTCATAGATTTTTTTTGGATAAAAATAGGCAGTTAGCTAAAGTAATATTTCCTCAAAATTTTTATTTTCATGATAACCAAAGTGTTCAAAAATATATCATTTCCATTTTTTTCTTATTATTTCCATCTAGCGGGAATTTAGTCAAAAATTCAAAGTTTAAATTTTTTAAGTTAAAAAAGGAAAGGAAAAAAAAAAATGGCGGAATGGTCTATTTGTGGATAGTAAATTTGTGGTATGTGGGTAATTATGGATATTCCGAATTTAATTTATAATCAAATGTTCAAAAAGCTTGTGGATGGAATGATTTTTCATTAAGAAAATACGGTAAAAAACAAAAAAAGAGAGAGAAAATAAAATTAATCTGACGGTGCCGATCATCTTTTCATCCACCTCATCCAATAAAATCATCATACATCATGATTCATGATTCGCGATGGTGTGTCGGCACACCTAAAGCTTCATGTTACAATTTTTTCCCTTGACAGCGAGAGGGCGTGAAAGGAAACGTTTTAATTAAATTTAATAGAAGGGTATTATAGGAAAGTTACCTTTACCGCGTAAAATAAACAGCTCGCTTTTATATTAACCCAGAGAGGAAAACGACCGTTATCTTTCACTAACACAAAGGAATATATAAGGAAAATCTAACTGGATTTAGTCATTGACCATGTGACAGAAGGGAAGGAGTATAGAGAGAGAAAGAAAAGTAGAGAGAGAGAGAGAGAGAGGAAACCCTTTTTTTAGTAAGAGACAGTGGACCTGAAAGAGGGGAAGGCAATTCCAAAATGAAATGAAATTTTTTTTCAAAATATTCACGGAGGGAGTGAGAAATGGAGTTTCCAAATAGATTTTTCTAATTGATTGGAAATGTTCCTTATTTATTTTTCTATGATGTGGATTGGTTTTTCTGGAAGTTTGTGAGAAAGGCCACCACTCCTCTCTCTGTCTTTCTTCTATAAATCACTCACTATCCACCTTTCTCCAACCCCTCCCCAGTCCCCTCTAAAGCTTTTGATTCTGAAATCTAGAGAGAGAAAGAGTTTGTGTTAGAGTGAGAAAGTTATGGAGGATGTGGCTTCTTTTTGGGGTTATGATCAAGAGGTGGGTCACTCTATATTCTTGTTTTTTTTTTTTGTCAGTTTTTCACTTCATTTCTTTTACATTTAAAGCTTCTTCTTCTTCTTCTTTTTATTTTTTTATTTATTATTATTATTTTTTTTTTTATGGAGTGTATTGCATTGAATTCAAAGATGGTTTTTTTTTTCCTTCTAAATCTCCATTCAGTTTCAATTTCAGTTTCTTTATGTGAAATTAATTGGGTTTGGGTAATTGAGTTTTGTCCTGTTCTTTTAAGTGTTACTTTAAGTTTCTTTTTTTTTTTTTTTCTTTTTTTTTTTTTTTTTCTTCTAAGTTTTCGATTTTTTGTGAATTTTTAACCTTACTATGAAAGGTTGACTATTGTGCAAGAATTGTGAGTGTTCTGGTTTTAAATTTTTAGGACTTCGCTTGAACTGGTAGCTTTTGGAGAAATTATTTTTGTCTGTCTCAAAAAAAATGCCATTATTCAGTGTGGTTTGACTGATATGTTTGCAGTGATGAATTGATGACCCAAAACCAAGCTTTTTTCCTTTATAAAAGTTGGATCTTCAATGAAGATTCATCTCTCAGTTCTTTAAAATTGGTTAAATTGGTTCTGTGCACACATACAAACACTTAAATATACATATATATATATATATATATATATATATATAGTTGTATGTATAGATTTTTGTATGTAGTGAAAGTCCGAGATTCTTTAATTTCATGTGATTTAGAGTTCGTGTTGTGTGTGTTGGTTTTGTTTGGCAAAAAGGGTACCGTAATTCTTGTTCCCTCCTCTCTGAACTGAAGCATGTCTCTGTTTTAGACTTTTGAGTTAGAATTTCTTGGTTTTGATGATTGAAACTTGTGGTGTTTGATGGAATAATCATTTTAAAGGGCCCAAGGTCCATTTTGGTTTTTGATGATGGAATCCAATGGTAAATAAACTCTTTTTTTTTTTTTTCTTTCTTTCTTTCTTTTTTCTTCTTGTGCTTTTAGTTCTTTTTTTAATTATTAAAAAGTGGTATCTATTGACTAAAATGTCTTGTGATCTTCATGGTCCCATGATGGACTTTTAACTGTTCCTCCTAACTTTGAATTATTTGTTCATGGAATAATTCAGAACCAGTTTGTTACAATAATATCTTTTCTTTATGTGTCTAACAGCTCCTTGGTGCTCATCTCCTCTTAACAACCTAGAGCACTGATGTGATTTCTTCTACTCATTGAAAACATAAATACATAATATATGTGTGTGTATATATATATATATATATGTCTGTTGAAATTATGATATGACCAAAATCCTCTCGAGTCACGTTTCCATGGTGAAATTTTACCGTTATAGTCTTGCTGTGTAGTTTCCGATCACTTATGTTGTCTGTGGATGGAACTAATTTTCGTACTTTTATGAATTGGCAGAACGTGAATGAATTGAAGCAGAAGCTTATGTTTGCCACTATTGAACTGGAAACAGTGAGAATGGAAGCAAGTAATGAAATGACAAAGAGCCAGGAGCATGTGAAGCATTTGCTTCAACTACTGAAAATTGCTTTTAACGAAAGAGATGAAGCAAGAGATCAACTGCAGAAGCTACTGAACAAAGTCGCACCTTCTTCTACGCCATCCGAATTCCTCAATGTTCTTCCTCTACAGCAATACGAAAGCCCCCTCGTAAACACCACAAAAGCAAACTCAAGTATAACTGAATCCAACAGTCTCTCCGAGACATACAATTACAAGTCACGCGGTTCATCCCCGGTTGAGTCCTTGTTTGATGCTGTCCCATCTCCGGAACTGTCAAACATAGACGTTGGTGATTCGAGAAACTTGGCGTTTGTAAACCATCCCTTAGTTCAAGACCTTAGTGGCACTGTGTCAACCGGTCTAGTCCCTTCAGGGATACCTAAAATCGATCATGCTTCTATGGTAATTGATAATCTAGCCAAGGGAAGAACTCTGCCACAGAAAGGAAAACTCCTGCACGCTGTTTTGGAGGCAGGGCCCCTTCTACAGACACTGCTCGTGGCTGGTCCACTTCCTCAATGGCGCAATCCTCCCCCACTGCAACCATTTCAAATTCCACCTGTTTCGATTAAAGGCTGTGACGTTGAATTAGTGACTCAAAAACCGGTTGCAAATTCAAGCTATGTTGTTCCGAAACCATTGAATTCATCACCATATGTTGAGATGTCTTGTGGGACTTCTCAAATGTTGTCTACATCTATGTTGAATTTTGCAAGTGTTTCTTCTGGTTCATGTCTGGGCAATGGAAGGTTGATATCTGCTGGCGCCAATACTAACGTTCACTTCCCAACTGGCAAGCGGCAAAGGTTCCAATGAGATCATGAACAGAGCTGTGCTTCCTTTTTGTATAAATGAGATTTTGTGTGGTTCGATGGTGTAAATTGGGGGATAATTGTTTTTGGTTTTGAATGACATAGCTGTTTGACTTTTCCTGTCAATGTCGTTTTCTTGTTATCTTCAATATATTCAAGATTATGTATTTGAAGAAAACAGCTCAGTACTCCAATTCATGAATGAGGAATATAAAATTGTACTGCTTTGCATTGGACAATTCAAAAATCCCAATGTCATTGTATAAGTTTTGTCTCTCTGTCGATTTTCATCCTCAAGCTCTGATTAGTGACAGTGATGGTGAGCAATGCAAAGGATGAGGAAACTTGGTGAATGGAGAGAATCTCTTGCTCCTCCAAGAAGAGAAACACGCAGGAAACCGTCCTGCAAGCTCTAAAACAACTACCATAATGTTCAATTTCTTGTCCATCCAAACTCGAATCGCAAAACTAATTTAACAGAATGATCATGCTATCTTGGAGTGGTCTCGGTTTTTTTAATACAGCTGATATCTTGGAGGTCTCTCATTTTTTTTAATACAGCTGATACATTCAAATAACACGATCAACGCAAACTTACCTGACTACCTGATTTTCCTGACCTATTGAGTCACTAAGAAATGCATTTTCTAGTTATTGTAATTGGCAATCTCAAAGCACAGATATAATTTTGTTGCATTTTTTCTGCCATTGTAGATCTTAACAATGAGCAGTGTTCATAATGATTGGAACATCAAAGCAGAACAATCTATAAATTTCAGATTTTCAGAACTAAACATGTGTACAGATCATGGAATAATGAGCAAAGTAAATGCTGCTTTGAACATCAAAGCTGAGAGATCTCTATAAATTTCATGTATCCAGAACTACACATTTTGCGAGAGAATATCAGCACCATTTCATAAGCGCCTGCAAGTGTTTAGATTGCAATTATGCTTTTTTATGAATGGATTGCTCTCTGCAAGTATATACAAATCGAAAAAATCTGTAACAAGGAAAATAAACTGAAAAAATGAAATTCTATATCGTAAAGAAGAGAGTTGCCTGTCTCAAATTTAAAATGTGCGAGTATCATTCGAGCTTTTGCACTCCTTGTTGTGGAGCTGTGTTAGTTACATTTGGATTGATGAATCCGGCTAATGGTCCTTGAATATCAGATCCATATACATGACCCATCTTAGTACGTTTTGTTTCCAAGTACTTCTTGTTTTCCTCTGTAATGGGCGTAAGGACAGGTACGCGCTCAACAACAGCCAAGCCGTACCCCTTCAGACCGGTGAACTTGGCAGGGTTGTTAGTCATCAGCCGCATTGTTTGAACTCCTATATCTCTTAGTATCTGTTGGCATCAAGCAACATAAGTTACTATGCATGTTGATATAACAAGAACATCTGTTGGCATAAGACTGAAGATTCCAACAATTAAAATCTATCCCATAAGTTGAATTTATCAACAAGGAGTGATATATTATATGACTTCTATTAAAACTGACCTGGGCACCAATTCCATACTCTCTTGCATCAGCAGCAAATCCGAGTTCTAGATTGGCTTCGACTGTGTCATGACCTTCATCTTGCAAATTATAGGCCCGAAGCTTGTGACCAAGGCCAATGCCTCGTCCTTCATGACCTCGAAGGTAAACAACAACTCCTCTTCCAGCTTGCTCAATTATTTGCATCGCCAAATCTAACTGGTTGCCACAATCACACCGAGCTGAACCAAATATATCCCCAGTCAAGCACTCGGAATGAACCCTTACTAGGACATCTTGTCCATTTCCAATGTCTCCCTATTCAGATTTGAAGAAAAAAATAATTTAATATGAACTCTGAAATACCAACATGTTTAAGTGGTTAATTGAACATCATGAAGACCATCTTAGATTAACATGGAGCACCAAACCTTTACAAGGGCTACATGCTCCGTTCCATCTAGCTTTGAGCGATAGCAATATGTCTGGAACAGACCCCATTTAGTTGGCAAACGCGAAATGGCACTTTTTTCAACCAGCTTTTCCCTTTTTCTCCTATACCTACAAGCAGAATAAAAGCTGCTTTTATACCCAAAATTAATGAAAAAAAATTCTAGATTGAAAATTTTCTAAACAATCTAAAAGGACGAAAGGATATGTATTATCATTAATATGAGGCAAAAACTAAAGAATGTGCTTTGTTAAAACTACTCATACTCTATTGGAACCCCTTCGTAAGGAGTGCATGAAAGCATGTATATAATTTGTTTGGAACAACTTCAATAGAGTTGCATATAATAACCAGTTAAAGCTAAGATTCTATTTTGAATACAATACAAAAAGACATCTAAAGTAGACAGACAAAAATGTAATTCTTCATGTAAATTATTTCGAAAAATATCCTTAATATTCACCAATTTCAATGGGACACCATGGTAGAACTCACCTGATCAAATCAGTGATTGTAACAATCGGAATGCTGTGTTCCAACGACAACTTTCTTAAACTAGACATAGAGGCCATAGAACCATCATCTGAATCAACAATAGCTGAAATAACAGAAATTGGTCGTAGACCAGCAAGCATAACCATATCTAGAGAAGCCTCAGTATGCCCGGCTCTCCTTAGAATCCCACCATTTCGGTACTTGAGGGGAAACACATGACCTGGCCTTCTGAAGTCTTCTGGCTTGGAATTTGGAGATGAAAGAGCCAGGACAGTCTTTGCCCTGTCTGAAGCCGATACCCCAGTAGACGTGCCAGCTTTCAGATCCTATATATAAAGTCAAGCAAATAGTATGTGAATCCCCATAGCCACTCCACCTTAAAGTTTCAAATAAAATTGATTTGTCTGTCTAAGAGCACATTTGGGCATTTCATGGAAATTAGCTCCACTTCGAATTCATCACAGTGGAATTAACAAATATATGCACCAATTTTTTTAAAAAAAGACATGCCCCCATTTTCTGTAATGACCCCATTTATAATGACAAGTTTTAGCAGAAATTCAATACAAATTAAACACAAGATGCAACCAATTTTCATTGAATGCCCAAATATGCCCTAAATGATGTATATCCAAATTGAAACAATACCACTGTGATTGTGAAAGACGGAGAAGAGGAATCATTTTCCTCTTCAGGTGACATTAGAGGGAGCCTTAGCCTCTCAAGATCCTCCTCCTTCATGCATACAGAAACAATCCCTGATCCATGCCTCATCATAAATGCGATAGCCCGGGAACTTGTACATGATGCTGCCATGATAAGGTTTCCTTCTGTGCCCTCATTTTCATCATCTACAACAATCACAAACTAAAAAAAAAATTCTAATAAAGGGTCAAATACAAAATCATAGCTTAAACCAAAAAACTCACTTGTAAACCAAAAAAAAAAATTTGTGTTAGCACCTATACTCATAGAAAAAACAATGTCAATAATGCATACTAACTTTGCCTTGTTGTAGCGTATGAAGTGCCTGGTCGATAGAAGAGAAGCCTTCAGATGGACAATCAGGATCACCATCGGCATCACTGACAAAGAAATCAGATGTTTCTGGTGTAATTTTAGCATCTAATGTCCCAAACAGTGCGTAAGAAGAGTCATCTAAAGCACCAAACAGAGAACCATTTTCATTTGCTCTCAGAGAACTATCATCAGACAAGTTTTGAGCACCAACTCCAGATACTCCGACAGCCCAGTAAGCAGAATTCAGCAATTTGTTCCTGTACTGCAGCCCAAGTCCTAAACTATGAGGAGCTGCAAAAGATCGATGAAAACTGAAACAGAATCATCAGTTTTAAGTTTATAACATACATGTTTATATTTGGTTGCATGAAATTGGTGTTGTAGAATTTGAATCCAAAAAAAATTTAGTCTAAACTTGAAATTGGAATCGGAGAAAAAAATTTCGATTCCAATTCCAAGACATCAATTCCATGAAACCAGACATAGCATTAATTTTTGAGCTACATAAAGTAGAACTAGAGCTAGAGCTTCATTTAGGAGTACTTAATTATATAATAACACGATATATGTACCTGGAGCTGATGACTATGTGAGGGAATAGTGGATACTGAAACAAGATACAATCCATGGAGGTATTTGATGAAGTTTTTTCACATAAAGGTGTGAAAATTTAGAACTTCTTGTTGAGTTTGTGTTTTTGGTGCCATAAGTTGCATGGTGGCGTGCTAGGTTTGAAGAAGAAACCCAACCTCAAGTTGTGGATGTGTTTGCGATTGGTGGGCGGGTTTCATTTTCAATTAGTAGGATGAAGTGAAAGGGGGGCTTCAGGATGGGCGTGGACCATGTAATGCATCTATGGATAAAGTGGTCAAAACAAATTTGTGAAATAATGGGTTTTATTTTTTTTTCTTCAAAAATTCATTATATTGCCCTAACAAAACTCCAACACTTTAACACCATGTTACCCCTTTCCGTCCATCTGTTTGCGTTGCTGACAGGCCCAATTTAAACATATTCTACGCAGTCACTCACATATCTTTTTGCCCACACTCCGCCTCAAATCCGTTTCCTTTTTTAAGATACGAAGATTATACCATTGGGTTAGACGTCTTTTAATATATGTATTGTTGTATATGAAACTTCTCTAAAAATGTAATTTGTGTTACTTTACCTAAATTGAAAATAATAATGAACTTCTCTAAAAATGTAATTTGTGTTACTTTACCTAAATTGAAAATAATAATGAACTTCTCTAAAAACGTGATGTGTGTTTCTTGATCTAAATTGAAAAGGATAATACTTGTCTACTCAAAGCATTTCCAGCGGTCTATTAAAAAAAAAAAAAATGTGTAAAATATACACTATCACATGTGATTTATAAATTTTTTTCATTTCTGGTCGTTTGTTAAGATACAATGCCACATCACCAATGTATAAAAAGGTTTTGTATTTTACACACCAGTTTTACACTACCATGTAAGCATATTTTCTCTTTCCTCTCCTTTTCCACCCTCGGTTCTCTTTCTTTTCTCTCATTCCTTTACGCATCTTTATTTCCCACTTTTCTAGAGTGGAATAGTGAATAATCTGTAACTGGCGGCAAGGTAAGAACTGTTCGACCATCTTTTATTTACTTTTTTTAATAAACATAGTTTGATTCATTACTTTGGTTTGATCTTATCTTCTGCAATCATACTGTAGATTCTAGGATTTTTAGATTTTTTATCCTTTTACATTCTATTCTAATGAGATAAATATGTACTAATCAAAGATTAGATATATATTTTAATCACGTAGTTTCTACATACTTAAATCTTATTTTATTATTTGTTATAAGTTAGAATTCCGGTGGCGATAGCGTAAAAGGTTTGCTATCGGGGGGATGGGAAAGTAATATAGGAGAAAATTATTATTTTTTTTCTAATTAAGTAGGATTGGGACGTGAGGTTTAATCGCCAAAAAGTAAACGGAATAAAGTAGGTTTGCAAAAGTTAGGTAGGGCCTTAGGTATAACATGTGGTTGGTTGTTATTGGGGGATAGTTTTTTACACAAAATGTATAAAATAACCGCTGGAGCTAAAAAATAGTTAGTACAAAATTTTGGTGTAAATTTACTATGACACATCATTTTTACACAAAAAAATTTAACAGATCGCTGGAGATGTTCTCACCAGTGAGTAGAAAACTCATTCTCACCACGTATGTGGCGAATTACTAAACTGACAAATATTCTTACATTTTAAAAAATAAAAAATTTAATAGCTATCGGATTAAACCCAAATAATTTACACTTTAAAAAATTAAAAATTAAAAATTTAATAGCTATTTGATTAAACACAAATAAATCTGAATCAAATTATAATTCTCTCTCCTCTCCCTCTTTTTCACATTTGATTGTTCCAATTCTCAAGATGTTTCAATGTCTAATCAATAATAGTCTCATTCCTCATCCATGCATAGATAGAGCCCTATTTAATTTCAAGTTTCAGCTGTCTTTTTACTCCAGCAACTATAGAAAGATGGACAAGGGCCTTGAGTAGTATATGAATTCATTTCTTTGTGTGTTGGTATTGAGCATGTCAAGGGATCAAATTACATGATAGATTTGTTTTTTTTTTTTTTTTTTTTTTTTAAAGTGTCCTTAGATTTTATTTTGTTTTCCCTAAATGATTTGTTTATTTTTTATTTTTTTAAATGTAAGGACACTCTTCAGTTTAGTATTGCACCATATTAGTGATGAGTATGAATTTTCTTCTCACCGGTGAGTAAACAAATATTGTCCAATTAAAAATAATGATTAAAGGTATTTTATTCTACTTATCAGATTAAAAGTAACTATTAAATCAAAATTAAGTTTTTAGTTTTGAACCAACACAATGTTAGTACCTCATAATTGGGATAGGTGGATTTTTCAATAAATCTCCTGTATTCATAGGATTTTATTTATTTATTTTTTTTTTCACTTTATAACATTTTAGGATCAAAGTTTCATTGAATTTAATTTTAATATTTGATATCTCAAAAAAGGTGCATTCACTATTTGACCATCATTGACTCAATGAAATCAACCAAACTTTAATTTTTTTACTAATCAAATATAATTGTAAACTGGTTAACCCAGAGGTTAAGTTTTGAGAGATGGAGATTTCCCTTATCAGTTATAACTGAAAAGTTTTAAAAGTATTAAAAATAAATTATAATTTTTTTATTTTTTTTTACAATGTAAGAAGTGTTAAAAGTTAGATTAATAGATACAAGCTTGACACTCCAAAGTTCACCGAAAACACTAATCCACTAGACTATCAAGGCATCTACAAAAATAAACTATAATAAACATTTAAAATTTTCAGTATTTATCCATTTGTTTCAATATAAAATATCTTTCCAAAAAAATATTTTCTATATAAAACTTTTTTAGATAAATTATCTTTTGGATAATACTTCAGTCCTGCCCCTATCAAGACAGATTGTGTCCTGCACACTAACGGTCTCAATAAGAAGATGACACTTCTTTTAAATTTAAAAAAATACAAAACATGGGTTATACCAATTTTTTAGGATTAAACCCGACAAATATATTTTTTTCCTCTCTTTGCTCCCATCTGTGTATCTCCATCTGCATCTTTCTTTTTCCTTAGCCGCCAATCATTCCAAAACACATATTGGATTTTGATTTCGATTTGGTCTTAGCAGGCTCCCATTTGTGTATCTCCATCTGCATCTTTCTTTTTCCTTAGCCGCCAATCATTCCAAAAAACATATTGGATTTGGATTTGGATTTCGATTTAGTCTTAGCAATGATTGATTTATTTTCTTAAAACAGGTATGTTAAAACATTATGTTTGCCCACCCGTGTAATTTTTCATATATAGTGTAATACCCCTAATTTCAAAATGATAATCCTGGTATTTCCTTTATTGGTTAAATTTACATTTTTAATTGTTTATATGTATATGTGTTTATTTAATTGCTTTAATTGTTGTTACTTTATTTATTTGTCTTAATTATTGATTTAGTTGTCGTTAATTTATTTAATTGCGTTACTGTTTTACTTATTGATTTAATTGTATTAACTATTTAATTGTTTATGGTACTTCATTGTTTTAATTATTGCTTTAATGATATGTTTTAATTTCATTTAATTAGTTTTATCGTGACTGTAGGATTGGTTGCATATATAGGTTACACAGTTTATAGCCGACATTGGTATTAACCTAGATTTCTGTATAGGTCAAGTAAATCCAGTTAGGGTTTAAGAGAGCCTACGATTAGTGTGGCTTATAAATACTCATCTACGGTGTCTGCCTAGGGTTTTAGAAGTATATTACGCCATAGTCGGACATTGAAAGTTTGGAGACGTCTGGGGAATCAACCAAGTGAAGAAACAGAGGGTTCGTCGGAGATTATAGACGGACGTCGGTGTAAGGCAAGTTCTATCCTTACTCTCTCCCTTAGACTTCGTGTTCTTTGCATTCTTAAACAGTTTTAGGATTAATGGAATCAATTTAAAACATTTTCTGTTTGTGCTTAAACTGTAATTTATCAATATGTTTTTATGCTTTGTAAAACTGTTAAAAACATGATGGTTGCTTGCATGAATCTTTATTTAAAGCCATGTATGTAATGTAAACTAGACTTAAGCATAGACTGGGAACGTACTGGGATTGGGTTACAGCCTCTGGAAGTCATGGCGGTGAAGTAGCAGAGGCGTAAAACGAAGACAAAGGCGAAGAGACGAGGCAGAGAGGGGGGAGAGCCGGCTCTCCCTTTGAGAGAGCCGGCTCCCTTTGATGGGAGGTGGCTCCCAAGGATGTGGGAGCTGGCTCCAAGGGCAAAGAGTCAGCTCCACACTTGTTTTGGAGCAGGCTCTTGCTCCAGTTTTGCCTTTTAGTTCATTTTTTGTAAGTTTTCAAGTAGTGTATTGATTTCTGAAATTTTCAAATGAGTTTAGGACTGAATGTGGAGGGTTTAAATGAGGCTCATGTCTGTATTAAGGTTTCAGGAGGAGTGTTCATTAATCTAATCACTTGGAATAGCTTGGACAGTAGAGAACTTAATCAGACAAGCACACTGTATTTAGTGTTGGAAGACTTGTAATACTTTGTTCTCTGCATGAGTAATGCTCTGAGATGGATAAGGAGATTAAAACATGTTTCACCATATACCATGATTATGTATCTGACTTATACTTATTTAGGATGTGTTGGTGTTAAATGATACAAAGACTTAAACTTAGCACTGTACTGGATTTTGGTGAAACAACCTAAACTACGCATGTTTATGTATATACTGTGGTTCTGTTTTTAATGATAACGTGATTATTGCTACTATAAATCGTGGGAAGATGAACTTGGTTGATGTTTACCTTAATTGATTGTAATACCAACTGCTGGATGTTGAATGCTACAAAGATTTAAACTTAGCTTTGCACCGGATGCTATGAAACACTACAAATTGAGTATGTTTATGAATATACTGTAATTCTGTTTTGATGCTTTCATTAACACTATTAGTAGCAATTGTTGGAAGCATGGATTTAGTTGATATTTACCTTAAGTATATGTTTTATCAACTGCTGGATGATTGGATAATATACACCGGTATAAGACGGTGGTATACTAGGGATGGTTTGGTTTAAAAACACCAAAACCTACCTACTCTGGATTAAGAATTGGATTAACTAAAAGTTAAGTCCTATTGATTGTAGTGTCATGGTAACAACTAGTTGAGCGACACTACTAGAATACAAGGATGGATTTAAAATATATTGTTATGGTACGTCGATATGAGCTTGAGTCTCAGGATCGACGG